GTTTTTAGTTAAATGAGTTACAACAACACCTAATTTCCATCTGGGATCAATAAAGTATTTTTGAATTTGAATTGAATTGAAATTGGCCTCTGTCTCTTTAAGAACCACCTTCCACATCTGTCTCGCCCATTTCAGTGCGGGGGGAGGGGGTGTCGTGCGAGGGGTGGGGTCTCGTGCGCTATGATGCAGTTTACTTGGCATCTGAAAATACATTTCCTCAAAGGTATTTTGAATCTGAAAAGAGCTTCACTGAGTGAGAAACAGTGTTGAGAGCTCAGCAGACAGTTAGGTTTCACTTTCACTCGTTTGCTCTGTTGCTGCCGAGAGCCTCAGGAGTCATGGGAGTGGGGAGGTGTGCTCCGTGATGATGAAGTTCAGCTTGAAGACACGTCCCAGAGGTGTTTCTGGTCCCACCTGTCGTTTTGCTCCTCAGCATGGCTTCATAAAAACACTGCAGGATTTCTCAAACATGATGAATGAGTCAGAGCAAGGCTTTGGACATGTTTTTATCAGAGTATAACATTATAACATGATATAAAACTCAAAAAAGTTGATTTTACATGATATTGACCCTTTGAAACCTGTTTCTTAAATGAAAATCCAGTGATCAAAGGATACACTGACCCAAAAGTTTCTGGTGAAATCAGCTTCTAATTCTGACCCAAACAGTCCTGGATTGGAATTCTCTTTGATTTTAGCCTAACAAATTCAACCTGTTTCCTGTTTGTCGTGTCGTCACAGTGGGACATGTTGTGATGGAGGAGGAGGCAGAGCACAGTCATTATGTGGATCAGCTGAAAGCTGAGTTCGACAGCTGCGACACCACAGCCACTGGCTTCCTGGACAGAGACGAGCTGACAGAGCTGTGCAGGAAGCTGCAGCTGGATTCACATCTGCCACTGCTGCTCACCACGCTGCTGGGAGAAACAGCATACGGCAGGGTAACACACACACACACACACACATACAGCAGAGTAACACAAACATAAATGCATAGAAATAACACAAACACAGTGGGGTAACACATGTACATACAGTTAGGGAAACACATTCACAGTATGGTAACACAAATATACAGGGGTTGGACAAAAACAGCTGTCATGTCAGTGTGGGAGGTTTCTCGGTTAAACTGGACCAGCCTGGTGGTCAGTCTTCATTAATTGCACATTGCACCAGTAAGAGCAGAGTGTGAAGGGTCAGTTAGCAGGGTAAGAGCACAGTTTGGATCTAAATATTACAATGTACACAACATTATGGTGACATACCAGAGTTCAAAAGAGGACAAATTGTTGGTTAACGTCTTGCTGGAGCATCTGTGACCAAGACAGCAAGACTTTGTGATGTATGAAGAGCCACAGTATCCAGGGTAATGTCAGCATACCACCAAGAAGGACCGACCACATCCAACAGGATTAACTGTGGAGCAAGAGGAAGCTGTCTGAAAGGATGTTCTGGTCTAAAACCAGCTGTTTCACTTTCATTGTCTAACCCCTGTATATACTGTGGAGTAAAGGTTAAAGCTCAGAATATAAACCACTTGTTCAGAGACAACCTGTAACTACAAGGACTGTGAGAAAGTGGTCACAGGAAGCTTCTATAAGTCTGTTGTTGAGAGCATCATCTCTTCTGTAGATCTTCTATAAGTCTGTTGTTGAGAGCATCATCTCTTCT